TCCCCGAACTCCTCCTAATTCCACTACACTTTTTGGAGACAGGAAAACCAAAACAGAAGACAGCTCCAGGGAAGGTATACACCCACGTATGTATATGTAAATATATACCCAAGGCATATACCACCAGTCCATCAGTTCTGGTGTCCCTTCTCACGGGCCTTTTCAATTCAATGGGTTTTCGGTCTTGTTGTTAGGGATTCTTGCACGCTGAGGAGAAATTTCCATGCGACTCTAGCAGAGGCATATGAAGTTATGAATTAATTAATTGAAATTCTTTCTTCTAATCTGCCCTGCCTTGCCCTTAGCATGAGGGATGAGCAGGGGATCAAGCCTAGTCCTCCACAGCGCCACGCAGCAGTGAACTGGCCACGGATCTGTCAGGTCCCTTTCTCTTCCCACATATTTTCCCCTAGTCTTAATTAACCTAAATAGCTTGGACCATCTGAAAATACTGCCAGATAACTCCTTGTTCCTCTCCTCCATTCCACGTGTGAGTAAGCAACTCTATTTCTGGAATGAAATTTGGAAGTATAAAACCGAGTGCCTTTTAATCCTGTTGAAGATCGCGCTGATCTAGTTCAGCTCTGCACGTGCACAACTTTGCTGCTTCCTAATCGAGAATTGCCGTTTCTCAGCTCCTACAGGACCGTTATTTTTTTCGTTAACTTCTGCTGAGGGGCTTCAAGATTTCTGTAGACTCAAATGCATCGTGTTAAATGGTTTTCCTTATTATTTTTCTGACATATTAAAAAAGAAAAAGATTGAAGACACATGCTTTTCCTTCGCAAGAGGAAAATATTGCAACTGCAAAAATATTTCCTTTGCAAAGTGCAAGACGTCTGTCCTGGAGACCCAAGTGGTGCATGTAAGGCAAATTACAGACCTGATCCCACAGAGTTCTGTGACACACCACTTACCCAGGCAGCAGCGACAGACCGGGGACTCAGTACACAAGCACAAGCTCACGAGCCCAAGGAGGGTCTGCAGAGCCAGGCTTCTGTGCACCGGCTATTTCACGTTGCACAAGGGTCACGTAAGCCAGAGTGAAACACACGCCACAGCGAGCACATGCGGCTCCAACTCTGAACTACCTTCTCCCCCCAAATTTAAGCACGTGTTTAAAACAAGGACAGGATTAGCTCTCATTCCTTAAACCTTCTCCAGCCCTGCATGCCAAAACCACACCTTACACTAAAAACCGCACCCAGTTTCCCAAGCAAGTGGTGGGTCCTGAGTGAAACGCAACACTAAAAACCTTTTTGAAAGCAAAAAAGGAAAAGCGTTTCAGGACCTGGGTAGGGGCAGTGACTTTATGTTCACCTGGCCTGGAAATGAAAGCATAAATGAATCCCCGAAGATTTCACACCCCCTCATGCTCCCCAGCACGCATGCACGCAACACACACAATCCGCACCTCTGTGCATGTGGCTATGAGAAGAAGGGTAAACTGGGGCTGTGCCGGTGGCCCCCGAAGCGCGACCACGCAAACCACCCCTGGAAAGGCACAGGAGAGCCCGACCTCGCTGCTGCTCTCCCTGGTATGTGCCTGCCCCGCTGCCATGGGGCAGCTCTCCCCGGCACGCTCCTGCCTGCTGCCATGGGGCTGCTGTTCCCCATACACCCATCGCGGTGCCTGTCAGTGACTTCTTGGTGCATCCGTGCCCCCAGCCAACCCAAGCTACGTCAGCAGGGACGGTTAACGAGGCTGGAGGCAGAGCCGAGCAGCTCGGTACCAGTGCCAAGAGTCCTGCCAGCTGGGCTGAGGGCACAGGCAGGGACAGACAGAAATGGGTGCACTCGCCGCCACCAGAGTGAAACGCGCACGCACATGTTTGCAGCTGTACAATAGCTCACACGTACACACTGCGTAAAGGAAAGGCAGTATCGCTCCCTCCACGAGTACGCACGCACACGTTAGTATATAACACCTCTGAGAAGCAGCAAACCCTTGCAGACCCTTACACCCACCCATCCCTCCCTTCCCCGTCCTCAAGCCCTTGAAGTTTTTCACCCCAGCGCTGCCGGTGAGTCCCGTGGCTTACCATGAGCGAGTGCCGGTTGGCGGAGAGCAGGCCGGTGCCGTAGCCGGACCCCAGACCGGCCATGGCTCCGTTGTGCGACGGCCCTATCAAGCCGTGCATGTCGGCGTGGCCCCCTGGCATGGCGGGGGCGGGGCCCCCCCCGGGGGTGGGCCG